TTTGGTCCAAGAAATGGAAGGATGGAGTTGCTATTTAGTAGGATGGGGCAGGTTGTAAAAGGAATAGGTTTAGGAGAGGGGTGGGGTGGGAGGGAAGAACGTGGTCCTTCCGTGTTGGACATTTTAAGTTCTGGAGTGATCTTGCCAATGGTGTTTAGATGGAATGAGACTAGCTGTGAACACTAGGTGGATGGGAGAGGTTGGAAAAGAGAGATCAGAGCACTGAGTCCTGGGCATGCCACCTATACTAGTTTTGGAGACATGCACTGTTTTAGGTGCTGGAGATACACAGACGGTATTCCATTCATTCCTTCCTTCAGCAAGCCTTTGTTGAATGGCTACTATGTGCCACGCATTGTTCTAGGTGCTTGGAATACATCAGTGATCAAAACAGAGAAGGTCAAAAAGTCTGTAAGTTTAAGGAACTTAACAGTATAATTGGGGACTAGAGACTGTAAACCTAATAAATACAAGAATGTTGTTTGGCAATGTGTCGGGAATCGGTGGGTTCTTGGTCTCACTGACTTTAAGAATGAAGCCGCGGACCCTCGCGGTGAGTGTTACAGTTTTTAAAGATGGTGTGTCCAGAGTTTGTTCCTTCAGACGTTCAGATGTGTCTGGAGCTTCTTCCTTCTGGTGTGTGTTCTCGCTGTCAGGAGTGAAACTGCAGACCTTGGCGGTGAGTGTTACAGCTCATAAAGGCAGCGTGGACCCAAAGAGTGAGCAGCAGCAAGAGTTATTGCAAAGAGCAAAAGAACAAAGCTTCCACAGCGTGGAAGGGGACCCAAGCGGCTTGCCAACTGCTGGCTCGGGGAGCCTGCTTTTATTCCCTTATCTGGTGCCACCCATATCCTGCTGATTGGTTCATTTTACAGAGAGCTGATTGGTCTGTTTTGACAGAGTGCTGATTGGTGCGTTTACAATCCTTAAGTTAGACACAGAGTGCTAGACAGAAAAGTTCTCCAAGTTCCCACTAGCTTAGCTAGACACAGAGTTAGCTAGATACAGAGTACTGATTGGTGTATTTACAAACTGAGCTAGACACAGAGTACTGATTGGTGTATTTACAAACCCTGAGCTAGACACAGAGTGCTGATTGGTGTATTTACGATTCTCTAGCTAGACATAAAAGTTGGACTCCAAGTCCCCACCAGATTAGCTAGATACAGAGTGCTGATTGGTGCACATACAATCCTCTGGCTAGATATAAAAGTTCTCCAAGTCCCCATCAGGCTCAGGAGCCCAGCTGGCATCACCCAATGGATCCTGCACTGGGGCTGCAGGCAGAGCTGCCGCCAGTCGGGAGCGCGCCTGCACTCCTCAGCCCTTGGGCTGTCAATGGGACCAGGTGCCAGGGAGCAGGGGGCGGCTCCTCTCCCGGAGGCTCAGGCCTCACGGGAGCCCACCACAGGGAGAGAGCTCAGACTTAGCGGGCTGCAGGTCTCCAGCCCTGCCCTGCTGGGAGGCAGCTAAACCCGGGGAGAATTTGAGTGCAGCGCCAGCGGCCGGCACTGCTGGGGGACCCGACCCAACCTCCACAGATGCTGGCCCAGGTGCTAAGCCGCTCACTGCCCTGGCCCTGCTGCGCCAGCCGGCTGCTCCGTGTGCGTGGCCCCCCACCCCGCGCCCGCACCTGCTTGAACTTGCATGGGCCTGCGAGTGCTGCTCCCTCCACTGCTATCTGGGCAGCCCGGCGCCTCTCCCTCCACGCCTTGGTAAGAAGAGGGAGGCGGCTCTGGCCTCAGCCAACCCAGAGAGGGGCTCCCAGGGTGCCATGGCGGGCTGAAGGGCTCCTCAGGCATCGCCAGAGTGGACACCAAGGCCGAGGAGGCGCTGAGAGTGAGGGCTGCTAGCACATTGTCACCTAAAGCAGAAGCAGAAGGGTGGGAATGCCTGGGGATGGAGATTGGGAGGGCTTGCCATTTTATGTCCGATGGCCAGGGAAGGCCTTACTGATGAGGTGATACTCAAAGGGAAACCTTAGGGAAGTAAGGGAATTGACCTAGTAGATATCTAGGGGATAAGTATGGAGGCAAAGGGAACCAAGAAGGCATAGCTCTGAGGCAGGGCTGTATTTGACTGGGTATAGAAGGAGAAGAAAAAGAAGCTTGGATTCTGAACCTGGGGCCCTACAACATATGGAGCTGAAGGAGATGGAGAGGAAACAGAAAGGAGAATGAGAACAAGAACAAGGGAGGCAGGTGCAGAAAGCGCATCAGGAAGGGAGTGATTAATTGTGTTACATACTGCTGGCTGATAGGTCAACGGAGATAGGACTGAGCATTGATAATGAATTTAACATTAGGGCTTGTCAAGTGGCCTTGACAGGAGCAGTTGCAGTGAAGTGAAACTGCTGTAGAGATGGAAACCTAGTGGGGGTGGATTCCAAAGGGAATGGAAGGAGAAGATTTGGAGACAAATGTAGGTATATCTACAGATGAGTTTTGCTCTAAGGCTGAGTAGAGAAATGGGGCTGATAACCAGAGGGGTAGGTGGGAGGAAAGTCGGAGGATGTTTTTGAGATGGGAGAAGTAACGGTGTATTTGTTTGCTGAAGGGAATGATTCAGTAGAGAGGGAAGATTTAATGATGCAGGAAAGCAGGGAGAATTGCTGGGAGAATGTCTTAGAGTAGGGAGCAGGGGATAGGATCTAGTGGATAATTGGAGTAGAGGTGGCCTTATCTAGGAGAAACAGTTTATTCATTTTAACAGGAGGGAAAGCAGAGTGTATGAGAACTGACGCTGATAGGTGGGGAGGTAAGCTGTGGGAGCTTGCAAAATCTCTCTTCTGACTGCTTCTGTTTCCTCAGGAAATTAGGAAACGAGATCTTTCAGTGAGTGAGGATAGAGGAGGAAGTGTTGGAAGTTTGTAGTGACAGGAGTCATAAAAGTATGATAGAATCAGGAAAAGTCAAGTATTGTTTTGAGTTATGTACTCTGCAATGATTTGTGCTCTGCGTTCCTACCTGCCTTTTCCTTTGCCTGAATGCCCTTCTCCATTACCCTTCCGTCTGTTAAACTTCGTCCTTTATCCTTTAACTCAGTTCTATGTTCCCTTCTTTGATTCAGTAAGGCAAAGTTGAGCATTTTCTTATCTGTGCCTCAGTTTTGCAGTAACTCCCATGTTGCTTTAATTATCAAGTTTATGTTTTATCTCTGTCTCTCCTACTCAATGGTGAGCCCCTGGAAGTAGAGACTGAATATTCCTTTTTTTTTTTTTTTTTTTTTGAGACCAAGTCTTGCTTTTTTTTTTTTTTTTTTTGTGCAGTGGCGCGATCTCGGCTCGCTGCAACCTCCGCCTCCGAGGTTCAAACGGTTCTCCTGCCCAACTTCCCGAGTAGTTGGGATTATAGGTGCCTGCCACCGTGCCCTGCTAATTTTTGTATTTTTAGTAGAGACAGGGTTTTGCCATGTTGGCCATGCTGGTCTTGAACTCCTAACCTCAGGTGATCCTCCTGCTTCAGCCTCCCAACGTGCTGGGATTACAAGTGTGAGCCACCGTGCCTGGCCAGAGGCTGAATATTTCTAGTGGCCAGGATAGTGCCTGGCTCATGATAGGTTTTCATCAAATTAGAATAACAAAATAATGCTTTAAAAGGAAAGTCTTATCTTGAAAACCGTGGTATTCTCATGCTAAAGAAAATGCTCATCTTGAAAACCGTGGTATTCTCATGCTAAAGGTAGTGCCTGGCACTTAAGGAGATACTAAATATTTGAATTGACAATGAGTTGGACTGTGGATGTTTGCAGTAAACAAACACTTTCAAATTAGAAATCTTATGCATCTCTGTGCATCTTACATGTCTCTATGCCCTTCTCTTTTTATATCCTGTGTATTTTTGAATGGATCTCATGATTGACTTGGTAGGTACTTAATACTTATGAGTGAAATGAATGAATGAACCTAATTAAAAAGGACTAATAATGGAGAAACTACAATAGTAGTTCAGCTGTGAGATGAAGGTGGTAGCAATGATGAGGATGGAACTGCCGGAGATACTACACAGTTCCCCACTTAGGAAGAGCAGAAGGGAAGTCTCTAATGCTAATTAATTGTGTACTGTGTGCTATACCACACAGTACCATGATTATTCCTTCTCATTTTAAAGATAGTAAAGCTGAGATTCAGAGATGTTTAGCAGTCTTCATGTTATGTCTATCTGATTCCATGAAAGTATCCCTTTTTCTGCTGCCATACAGCCTTGATAATAGCCCTCCCATCCCTTTAAAACTGTGAATTCTCCCCACTTTTCTAGTTGGTTTCAGTGAATTGAATTTCAAATGGCTTCTGAATTAAGCAGAGATGTCCTTTTGTAGGCAGCTTTACATTGCTTTACTAAGCTGAAACAAATTGTGGTTGAAGATATAGATTAGGAAGTGTTAAATATGAAGGGTAATAACCGAAACTGTTATAGTGGATATGCTGCCAGAAGACAAGTTTATAGAGAAATTCTGCTTTCACTGACTCTGGGATCTCACCAAGTCTATTAATCTGTAAGAAGCCAGAGGAACTGGCAGGAATATAGATTTTCTCTTTTTTTACAGTTTCCAGAATTCAATATGCATATATGTTGGATAGTTTAACAATTATAGGTTTTCAAAATAGCATACTAATAAACTATTTTATTAGTATTTTTTTCTCTTTGGAAAATTGCATCATATGAGTGGTCTACTTTTTCTAACTCATTTATCTCATAGACTTTTAAAAACTGTGCTGTTGTTGACTTCTTCACAGAATCCAGCACTCTTTTGGAAGAGGGTAATCTCCCTCCAAAAACTGAGGACACTTCCCTTCCCCATATATTGAGTCCAGCTTGTTTGGTGGCCCAGGTGGGTGGCACAATGATTTGGTGTCTTCTTCATGGGATATACAGAATAGTGTGGCACTTACAAGATATTGGATACATTTATATGAATGTTTACAGCAGTTTTATTAATATTTTCCTGTGCAGTTATTTTTCTGACTTACCAATCTTGTTTCATTGTGTTTCAAAACTTAGGTAATAATTTCAAGATGCCAGGACGTTCCAGTTCAAATTCAGGTTCAACTGGTTTCATCTCCTTCAGCGGTGTAGAGTCTGCTCTCTCCTCCTTGAAAAACTTCCAAGCCTGTATCAACTCTGGTATGGACACAGCTTCTAGTGTGGCTTTGGATCTTGTGGGAAGTCAGAGTAAGTAAAATTAAAACTTCTTTTGTGTCTACTTTGAGGTAACACTGTGTGATGGTATTAATCTGGGGGTACCTTTTGAGTATCCTGGGGGGAATGATTTAACCCCTCTAGGCATCTGTTTTCTCATCTTGTTCTACACACCACGGTAGGGTACTGAGGGTGAAATGAGATTGACTCACTCATGTGTGTTCAGACAGTTAAGTTCCATGAGAAACTGCACTAGAAATTTATGGGCAAAGATTTGAAGATCCTGACCTCAAGGAGCATACAATCTAAAGTATTTGACATTTGTGAACTGTAAGGTATATAAATTTATTATGATATTGTTATTTTCCAGTAGTTTATACTTTGGTCATGCTTGATTACCCAGTAGATAGACTAAGCTTGTACTAGGGATACCAGCAAAGGAAGGCCTCAACAAAAATGAGAAAAGTTAAACTTAATGAATTTTACCTACATTTGTTCAATCAAAAAGATCTAGGAAGATGTGATTTGCAGGTCTGGTGCAGTGGCCCACGCCTGTAATCCCAGCACTTTGGGAGGCCGAGGCGGGCATATCATGAGGTCAGGAGTTCGAGACCAGCCTGGCCAATATGGTGAAACCCTGTCTCTACTAAAAATACAAAACCAACATGGTGAAACCCCGTCTCTACTAAAAATACAAAAAATTAGTGGGTGTGGTGGCAGGCACCTGTAATTCCAGCTACTCGGGAGGCTGAGGCAGGAGAATCGCTTGAACCCAGGAGGCGGAGGTTGCAGTGAGTCGAGACTGTACCACTACACTCCAGCCTGGACAACAGAGCAAGACTCCGTCTCAAAAAAAAAAGTTGTTATTTGCTTTCTTTGGAGTAGAATCGTTTTTATTTTATTTTACACATGGAGCCAGAGGAGCAGCATGACCCTTTTGTTTTTTTTTAATGGCATAGGTTTTGAGCAATTTGTGATGTGCCTTGGTGTGGTTTTCTTTGTCCTGACTGATGTTGTTTGAGTTTTATAGATCTGTCAGCTTATAGTGTTTTGAATCAAATTTGGAAAAATTTCTGCTACTATTTCTTCAAATATATATTTTTTACTCCTCTGCTTTCTTCTCCTTCTGTGTGACTCACATTTCATGTATGTTAGATGGGTTGATATTGTCCCATAAATCAGTGGGACTTCATAGATTTTTTTCCAGTCTTTTTACTCTTTAGCTTCAATTTGAGTAATTTCTGTTGCTAAGTTCATTTATCTTGTCTGCTGCAGTGTCTAATCTGATAATTCCATTTAGTGAATTTAAAAATTTCAGTTATTGTTGTTTTAATTGTTGAAGACATAGCAAAGAATTAAGTAGAATCTTTTTTTTTTTTTAGTCTTCCATTTTTTTCTTCATTGTGTCCATATTTTTCTTTACATTCTTGAGTATATGGTTTTCTTTACATTCTTGAGTATATGGAACCTGTTTATAATAGCTGTTTTAATATCCTTGAATGTGAATTCTGTCATCTCTATGTGTATTATGTTGTTGAATGTTTGGATTTTGTTTTTTTTTTTTTTTTTTTCAGACGGAGTTTCGCTCTTGTTACCCAGGTTGGAGGGCAATGGTGCAATCTTGGCTCACTGCAAACTCCACCTCCTGGGTTCAAGCGATTCTCCTGCCTCAGCCTTCCAAGTAGCTGGGGTTACAGGCATGTGCCACCACGCCCAGCTAATTTTATATTTTTAGTAGAGATGGAGTTTCTGCATATTGGCCAGACTGGTCTCAAACTCCTGACCTCAGGTGATCTGCCTGCCTCGGCCTCCCAGAGTCCTGGGATTACAGGTGTGAGCCACCGCGCTGGCCTGTTGTCCTCTTTTAAATAGTGCTGGAGTTTGTTTGGTGGGCAGCTAAGTGATTATGGATTAGGCCGATCCTTTCCAGGCTTGTCGTTAAGCTTTGTTAGGGCAAGTCTAGTGTAGCCTTTATGTTAGGGCTAATTTAGCCTTGTTACAAAGCATGGCCCTTCTGGAGTCTCTGTTGATTGCCCTGAGGGTTCATTGAGATAGCTCTACTCTGGCTGCATGGAATTTGAATGTCTCCCTCTCCTAGTTCCTACGTGACTGAACCTGGGAGTTGTTCACTTTATAGCTGTCAGTATTTGCTCCTCGGCATTTTAGGATTCATCATCAGACTCAAGGAGACCCCAGTGCAGATTCCTAGAGCTCTTTATCTGCATAGCTCCCTCCCAGTGCTGTCTCTTGCAAACTCTGCTGGCTGCCTCAGCCTCCCTGAACTGCAGTCACTGTCTCCTCAATCCTTCAATACTGCTGTGCTAGGTCAGGCGCGGTGGCTACCTGTAATCCCAGCACTTTGGGAGGCCGAAGCAGGAGGATCACCTGAGGTCAGGAGTTCAAGGCCAACATGGCGAAACCCTGTCTCTACTAAAAATACAAAAATTAGCCAGGCATGGTGGAGGATGCCAGTAGTCGCAGCTACTGGGGAGGCTGAGGCAGGAGAATCACTCGAACCTGGGAGAAGGGGATTGCAGTGAGCCGAGATTGTGCCACTGCACTCCAGTCTGGGAAACAGAGTGAGACTCCATCTCAAAAACTCCCGTGGATTCCTCCTCCCTTGTGCAGGGAGGAGGCCTTTGCAAGACTTTTCCCAGTTTTCCCTTATTGCAGTAATTACAGTCCTGTTCTGCCTGTGTCCCACTGTCCCACAGCTATTGTTTCCTATATTTTGTTTAGTTTTTCAGTCATTAATGGCAGGTGGACCAGCTCCATACAGTTACTCATTTAAGGCTAACAGCAGGTGTCATAATCTTTTTAGTGGGTGGCCTCCAAATGTTTTAACCCTGCCTAGTCTATTTTTGAGTATATTTTCGGTGATCATAGATAATTTGGCTTTGATAGATCGGCCTGTATAAAAGTCATAGTAAAGTCTTAAACCATAAGAGAGAAGACTGGAACATAACCCTCTTAGGAGACCGTATCAGGTTTTTTCAGGATTCTCATTGAAGACTCTCGAGAGTTTTAGCTACAGAGTTCTTTTTTTTTTCTCTTGGTTTTGTTTTGTTTTAAATAAGTATATTTTGTTGTAAAATACAACATACTTTGTGCAATTTAAAAAGAATTATAAACATCATTTTTTGAAAGGTTCATGCTCTGAAGCAGAAGTTGGCACAGTTTTTCTATAAAGGGCCAGATAATAAATATTTTCAGCTCTGTGGGCCATGTGGTTTCTGTCACAACCCCGCTGTTGAAGTGCAAAACCCATCACAGACGGTACGTAAATGAATGGACCTGACTGTGGTCTTATAAAACTTTATTTACAAATATGGGCAGTGGGCCGGATTTGGCTCACAGGCCTTAGTTTATCAACCCCTGCTTTAGTGCCACAGGTTATCATTAAGTAATTTTTAAAAGAAAGAGGTATTTCTTTTTTAATATTTGGATTAATTTTACAGCAATAATTTTACGGCAAATACTTGGTTTTGCATTTACCAAAAAAAGTTAATTTAAGAAAAATTTTGATCAAGTTATATGGGAAAAAAGTGAACTAAACAAGTTAGATACAGAGTCAGCAGGAGCCTGGAATACTTATGAACTCAATACATATATGAATACAAACACACACACACACATATACACACACACACACAGACATTTTAACTAATACCAGGAGTCAGAATAACAAAGTAGTCAACATAAACTTACCCAATGACTGTTATGAATATAATTCAGCTCTAGGTTTTAAAGAGGACATAAACAAGTATTAAGTAGTTCCTCCCTTCACAGAGTTTGCCATCTTAGTGGGAAGACAAACACATTAAAATACGAGAACAATGAAAAAACAGAAAAGATGTTATAAAACTGCAAATAACTAATATCACCACAGATCTCACCAGAAAAGTCATACACTCTCAAAGTTATAATGGTGAACACAAATTTTTCAAAGTTCTAATTGTTTCTTTAAAACTTTCATTTTGGGCCGGGTGTGGTGGCTCACACCTGTAGTCCCAGCACTTTGGGAGGCCGAGGCAGGTGGATCACGAGGTCAGGAGTTTGAGACCAGCCTGACCAACATGGGTGAAACCCCATCTCTACTAAAAATACAAAAATTAGCCAGGCGTGGTGGCACGCACCTGTAATCCCAGCCACTCAGGAGGCTGAGGCAGGAGAATAGCTTGAACCCAGGAGGCGGATGTTGCAGTGAGCAGAGATCACACCACTGCACTCCAGCCTGGGCGACAGAGCAAGACTCCGTCTCAAAAAAAAAAAACGAAACAAAACAAAACAAAAACAAACAACTTTCATTTTGGCCGGGTGCTATGGCTCACACTTGTAATCCTAGCACTTCAAGAAGCCGAGGCAGGTGGATCACCTGAGTTCAGGAGTTGGAGACCAACCTGGCCAACATGGAGAACATCTGTCTCTACTGAAAATACAAAAATTACCTAAAAATACAAAAATTACCTGGGCGTGGTAGCCTGCGCCTATAATCCCAGCTACTTGGGAGGCTGAGGCAGGAGAATCGCTTGAACCCCGGGGGCGAAGGTTGCAGTGAGCCGAGATCGCGCCACTGCACTCCAGCCTGGGTGAAAGAGTGAAATTCTGTCTAAAAAAAAAAAAACTTTCATTTTATCGTTAGCAAAAAAAAAAAAAAATTGTTGTCTTTGAAATTACAGGTGCACAGGCTCACTTTCTTCATTTTTGAGAAAATGTCTTTCAGGTACCCAAACCTGAATAACCATAGTTGTCTGTGAATTGTTCTATATTGTACTGTTTTATCAAGGACTTTTTTTTTTTTAAGATGGAGTCTTGTTCTGTCCCAGGCTGTCGTGCAGTGGCGCAATCTTGGCTCACTGCAACCTCCACCTCCCGGGTTCAAGCTAGTCTTCTGTCTCAGCCTCCTGAGTAGCTGGGATTACAGGCACGCGCCACCATGCCCGGCTAATTTTTGTATTTTCAGTAGGGACGGGGTTTCACCATGTTGGCCAGGCTGATCTCGAACTCCTCACCTCGTGATCCACCCGCCTCGG